AAGATTATGCTAGAAACGAAGATGTTTATACTCCCCGCAATTCATACCATTTCTCATGATGAGAGAGTCAATGTTTATTTTGATTCTATAAATTAAATTTTATAAAACAGTCTATTGACGCTTATATGTAATAGTGGCGTCTTATAAACTAAATTTTGTTGTAATGTAGGTTTGTTTCGTTGTTGAATCTTCTCAATCCCTAACGTTGTCGATGGTTTATTGGGTTTGATTCTCGTTTTGTTGTCAAATCTTGTCAAACCCTAATGTTGTATGTGGTTTATTGGGTTTGTTTAATAATATTTATGTTGGTTTGAGTTTCACTTGTATGGTTATTTGGTATCTGATTTATAGCATTTCAAGATACTTGAATAACTATCATCTTACATTTCTATGATTTTGCAACAAACCGATTATAAATAACCTACAGACTGTCTAGAGATGTGCAAAACGGGTAAATGATCGGGTCTTTAACCGATAACAATCGGCCACATGTCCAATAATTCAAACATAATTATACAAGCCATAGAAATAGAATAAAATTTCGATAGAGGTGAAACTAGTATTTTTCGTTTGATATGTGTTCGATTTCTTCAATTTCAGGATTTTTTTTACGTCATCATCAAGACTTTCCATAATTCTTATTATAATCGGCAATGTAAGATTCATCTAATATGTTACAAACACCTCGCCTCCATGACTCATCATGTTCAATGAGGCTTGTCCCACCATGCTGATGAGCTCTAATGCAATTTGTAACGCCCAAGCCCAAGACAGCAACATGATGGCCCAATAACTTCTAAATCAACTTAAAACCATGGTGGAAGTTATTGTTAGCTCACGACTTTAATCTTATAAGAAAAATCCGCAAATATACTTTTCGATCTATGTGAGAGAGGTTGTTGCATTTCAAACGAATTAAACATAAATTATTTTATTTCAATATTTTCGAAAATAAGTGTTATATTTATTTGTTAAAGAATTTCGTTACAACTGTATTTATTATTTACTAGAAGCGTACTCGCGCAATGCAGCGAGATACATCGTGATTTTAATATTTCATTTTATTATTTATTTCAGTCGATGTTATAATATGGTTTTATGTGATTTT